TTGTAAGATTTTCTGTGTATGAAATCAAGGATAGTTACATCTATAGAGACTGAAACTGGATTGAAAATTGCCTAGGGGAATGGAGAGCTAAGAAGGAGTATGAGAAAAAATGTTCTGAAATTTATTGTGGTGATGGTTATATCGCATACAATTTTAATATGATTGAATGATTAAATTATATGATATGTAAAGTACTTGCCAATAAAACTATTTTTTAAAGTCTAAAATTAACAACAGCCCCGAACCAAGAAGACCAACGGCAGTTGCAGCAATTAGAGCACATGGTGAACTATCTGTGCAGATGAGAACTGTATTCTTTGGGGGTTTTTGTTCATAAAGCTGGGCTAATTGCCAAGTCTTCTGAGGCATGACTCGATAGTATTAAATCAGCAACTGTCTGGCTAGTGGCCTTGCACTTTAACTATGTGCCACCCATGGACTTAAAGTAGTATTAGGAACACCTCAGTCATCTTGCTTTGCTTATATGAGTGTTGTCTTTATATATGTAAAAAGATTTATAAAACTTCCAAATATAAAAAAATTCTTTAATTAAGTAAAAGTGATATCTTTTTTTTTTTACTAATGACACTATAATGGTAATCATTAGTACATTTTGGTCTCTGATAGTGTTTTTTAAAAAATTGATAGTATATAAAATAATGGTGTATCCATATACAGGACTTTATGTGATCTTGGGTTAAGTGAAGTATGCTAGAGTAAGTGAATGTCTTCTATAAAATATGATAAAGTATGAAGTTGGAATATTGGGCCTTAAATCTTAGGTGGTACAGTTGTTTCACGTATAATTCCACTTATTTTAATTTTAGGCACTTTATATAATTACTCTTTGAGTTTTATTTTGGTTCTTCACTTAGAACCTTTTCTCGAAATGAGAACTGGTAACGAACAATTTCGTGAGTTTAGCATAGATTTCTAGCTCTGAGTTTTTTCCTTTTCTTTCAGAGTTTGCCTTTTACTATTATACAAGAACCAGTGCTTCCTGGTTCGACTTGAGAACTCTAGCAGTCACTTGGAAAAGCTGTCACACTTCCTGTGTGTAAACGACTTAGAGTGTAAAACTGCTGCACTGTTTTCTGTCATGCTTACATTCATAGATAGAGTTGGCTCCTTTTTTCAGGTAGACTTTCTCAAGGAAAAATTTTTTTAATTCAGTAAAATATTTGCATTTGTTATTTTAAAATGTGTACTTCATTGACAGTAATTGCATTACCTGTTACGCAACCATTGCCATTATTTCCAAAAGTTTTACATCATCCCAGACAAAATCACTATCCCTTAAGCATTAACTCTTTCTTCTTCCTCCCCTCAACCTTTGGTAACCAGTAGTAAACTTTTGTTTCTGTGAATTTTACTGTTGTAGATATTTCATATTTTATTTATTGTATTTTGTATAATATTTGTCCTATGTGTGTTTTTATTTCACTTAGCATAATGCTTTCTGGGTTCATTCATGGTGTAGCAGGTATTGGAACTTTATTTCTCTTTATGGCTGAATAATATTCCATTGTGTGTGTATCATATTTTGGTTTTGTATTCTGCTGGCTTCCACATTTTGGCTGTTGTGAATAAAGCTGCAGTGAACATTGCTGTACAAACAGGTTTGAACCTCCTTTCATGTCTTTTTCATATGTATATCGAGAGTCTAATTACCGGCTCATATGGTAATTCAATGCTTAACAATTTGAACAACTGCCATTATGTGGGAGCCTCCTTTCAAGTTTTTTTGTTACAGGAAGTTTACTTTATTACTGGTTCATATGGTACTTCTGTGTTTAATTTTTTTGAACTTGAATAGCAGCTGCTCTGCACCATTTTACATTCCAGAGAGCTTCATCTTTCTCATGCAGAATGGTTGGTGTACTTGAATCACAAATCCACCAGGGAGCCCTCTAATTCTTAACCAACACCACCAGCAGGGTTCCCTACCAGCAATGAATGTACTCTTACTGCCATCGAGGTTGATACCGACTTATAGTGACCCTACAGGACAGAGTAGTACTGTATTTCCAAAACTGTATTTCAATATAGGAGTAGAAAATCCTGTCTTTCTCCTGTGGAATGGCTGGTGGTTTTGAACTGCTGACTTTGCAGTTAGCAGCCCAGTGAGTAACCACCACACCGGCAGGACTTCTCCAGCAATGGAAAAATGGTGTAGTTTTTCCACATCTTCTCAAAACATTTAAAATTTTTCTCATAATACCCATCTTAGTAGCTGTGAAGTGATATCTCGTTGTTGTTTTCATTTGTCGTTCCCTTGTTAGTGAGAGAACTCTGGTGGCACTGTGAGGCAAACATTGGCTGCTAGCCATAAGGTCAGTGGTACAAATCCACCAGCTACTCCAAGGGAGAAACATGATGCTGTTTGCTTCGGTAAAGATTGGCAGTCTCAGAAATCCTACATCGGGTCAGAATTAGTTGGAATCCACTCAGTGGGAATGAATAGGGGTGGTGTAATGGAATGATATTGAAACACTTTTTCATGAGCTAGTTTGCCATTTGTATATCTGATTTCTAGAAATGACTACTCTAATCCTTGCTCATTTTTTAAACCTGAGCTTTTTTGTTGTTGTTGAATTGTAGGATTTCTTTATATCTTCTGGAACCCTCAGCAGTTGAAAGGTTCTCATCCTACTACATTCTGTAGTTTGTGTCTTTTCTTTACTTTGTTGATGAAGTCTTTTGATGCACAAGTTTTTAATTTTGTTGACAAGTGATCTGTTAATGTGTGTTTGGTGTGATATATAAGAGTTTAATTTGGAGAAAAAGTCCTGAAGTTTTACCCCACTGGCATCTCTAAGAGTTCCATGCTTTAATTAATATATTTATGCTCTTGATCCATTTTAAGGTAATTTTTACATATCATTTGAAGTATAGGTCCAATTTCAATAAGTTGTCATTAGATCATTTGTTAAAGAGGCTTTTTTACCCGTTGAATGGATTTGGCAATTTGTTGAAAATTAGTTGACTCATTTACAGGTTCTTAATTCTATTTCTTGGTTCTGTATGACTATGCTTATATTACTGCTGTTGTGTATTAGCATTGTGATATGTTTGAAGTAGGAAAATGAGTCCTCTGACTTTGTTCTTTTTTTAGTGATTTTTTTTGCTATTCTGAGCTCATTGAATTTTTAAATGAATTTGAGGATTGATTTCTGCTTGGAAATAATGGAATTTATCATGCCATTATAGTAAGAAATATATTTTGCATTTCCCCATCTGGGACTTAGTATAAATAAATATGATTGAAATAAACCTTCACAAAACAGTACTTAACAATTATTTCATAGATGTTAGTTTTCACTTGTAAGGGGTTTTTATTATCCTCTTTTGACTTACAACCTTCATTTAAAAAACACTATACCTCCTCCTCACTTTTCAGTGTGGGAAGGTTTCAAAGACCAAAGCTTTATGCAAAAATTGAAGTTATTCCTAAATGAAGTATGACACATCAGATGATGCCATCATTACATAACTTCCAAACCACTGAGAATCATGGCCTCCCAAGTTATCATGTAACCTTAAACATTAGGACCAGTGTTGTATCAAGTGTTTGATACTGCCCAATGTATGTCATTAATACACAAAATGACGCACAGTAAAATTTTTACTATTGTTATAAATATGGAATTTTGGATAACAAGATATTTGATATAGGAGGTATAGGAATACACACACAGATGCATCACAAATTAGTGTTGTATAATCATAGAAACCTTTACAAAAATATTAATGTAAAGCTATTTTTTTTGGATGACGTCTCCATCTAGGACTATACACTTCTGAAGGTAGCATTTCCATCTCTAACTTTTAAAGAATTCTGTATTACATCATGCCCAGAGGGGCATTGGCCTCCTTGAGGGACTCAAACCATATTCTTTTCAATGTTCTTTGAGTTCCGGGAACAAAAAGAAGTCTGAAAGGACAAAATCAGACCTATAGGGTGGATGGGGCAAGTTTCCCAACAAATTCTTTTAAGACAGCTATTGTTACCCTCAAAAAATGAGCAGGTATGTTTTTTTGACATAACCTTCCAAAGTAGTTTTCTTAAAGCCTATGATTATCCTGTGTCTTCTGAGAAAATATATCAAGATTACCCCTTTGGAGTCCCAAATAGCAGTTGCCTTAACCTTCCGAGTTGACCTCTCTACCTTGAATTTAACCGGTTCAGCAGATTCCCCCAGATGCTGCTACTTAGTTTTCCGTTTTCTTAGAGCTTCTTGTTAAAGAGACTTCTTTACCCTTGGAACGGATCTGGCAACTTGTTGTAAATTAGTTGGCTCATTTACAGATTCTTAATTACTCCTTTGGAGTCCCAAATAATAGTTGCTTTAAACTTCTGAGTTGACATTTCTATTTTGAATTTGGGGGAGAAGAGGGAACTGATTGCAATGATTGTTGTATAACCCCCACACCCCAAGGGGGACAAACCATAGAAACATGGGTGAAGGGAGACAGAACATGGTGTAAGAAATGAAAGTAATAATTTATAATTTATCAAGGGTTCACAGGGGGGAGGGAAGAACTGATACCAAGGGCTCTAGTAGAAAGAAAATGTTTTGAAAATGATGATGGCAACATATGTACAAATGTGCTTGACACAGTAGACATATGTATGGATTGTGATAAGAGCTGTAAGAGCCCCCAATAAAATTATTTATTTAATAAAATAAAAAAATCCCTTCAGAAGCTGCGATTTTGACTGGACCTTTGTTGTGAAGGTAACCTAACAAGATTAAGACGAGAAGAACTTGTCTGCCAACTGTCCACTGATCCTAGAGACATATCTAAGCATTTTTGATTGGCCTCTATACATATGATAGATATGTGTACATCTGCACATACACTATTACTCTCACTTGAAAGATGAGACCATAACGAATTATGGATACGAAAACAAATTTAAATTGCTGCATTATTTTCTACCTTAATGTCTTTATTTAATAAATAAATTAATGAAATTATTTTATTTTATAGGCTGGAGCACTGGATTTGCTGAAGGAGCTTAAGAATATTCCCATGACTTTGGAATTACTACAGGTATATGCTTATATGTACTACATTAATGTACTTATAGTAGCTGTGTTGCTGTCAAGTAAACTTTGGGCTGCTAGCTGCAAGGTTGGTGGTTCAAACCTACCAGCTACTCAAGGGGATTAAGTTGAGTTACCCGTTCCCATAGAGATGTACAGCTTCAGTAAAACCTTAGATATGGTTAACGGTGAATTGGAATTGACATGATGGCAATGATTGATTGATTTGTATTTTACCTGAAGTAAAAAGAGAATTAGTAGTGTTATGGGATAAATATTGAATTGCAAACTCTAAGATCAGCTGTTCAAAACTAACTTACTGTTAGGGTGAAAGTTGAGAATGTCTGCTCCCATAAAGATTTACAGTCTCAAAATTAACTTGGTCCTGGTGGGTGGAGTTATACATTAATACTAGCTGTTACTCGATGTTTTAATATAGGAGCACATACATCATTGCCTTAAAATATTCCGTAACTTGTAGTAAGGTAGCAGATGGACATTGGGCCTCTATTCAAGTACTCCTTCAATGCAAGAACACGTTGTTCTATTAAACATGCATTCCATGATGCTCATCTTCCCAACACAATCGCTGAAGACAGAGCAGGCACATAAGCAAATGTGGTGAAGAAAACTGATGGTGCCCTGCTATCAAAAGATATAGCATCTGGGGTCTTAAAGGTTTAAAGATAAACAAGCAGCCATCTAGCTGAGAAGCAATGAAGTCCACATGGAAGAAGCACATCAGCCTGTATGATCACAAATTGTTGATAGGATTGGGTATCAGGCATCACAGAACAAAAAATCATATCACTGTGAATGAGGGGGAGTGCGGAGGGGAGACCCAAAGCCCATCTGTAGGCAACTGGACATTTCCCTACAGAAGGGTCGCGGGGAGGGAGACTAGCCAGTCAGGGTGCGGTATAGAAACGATGAAACATACAACTTCCCTCTAGTTCTTTAATGCTTCCTCCCCCCACTATCATGATCCCAATTCTACCTTAAAAATCTGTCTAGACCAGATGTACATGGGTACACATCAGAGCTGGAAACACAGGCAATCCAGGACAGATACCCCATCAGGACCATGTACTAGTCCAGCAATTTCTACATGCATATCATATATACTCATGTATAAGCCGAGTTTTTCAGCACATTTTTAATGCAGTTTTTATGCCATTTTGGTGGTAAAATTAGGTGCCTCGACTGATAGTAGGGTCAGCTTATACTCGAGTATATATGGTAATTTAATGGCATTGATTATATTCTTCATGTTGTGCAGTCATTCTCACCCATCTTTTCTGAGCTGCTCTTCCTCATTAACATAAACTCACTGCCCCCTAATCTTTTTAATTTCAGTTTTCATTTTGATCCTGAATACATTGTGTGTGTGTGTGTGTGTGTGTGTATGTGTGTGTGTGTAATCATAATGCCCCAGGTACCTGTGTTAGGGTTGGCTATAGAAACAAATTCATTGACACTCATATGAATATGTGAGAAAGAGCTTTATATCGAGGGAGACTTCCGGGAAGAGGGTTTCCATGTGGAATCGCCTGCTCTGTGCTCCTGTTGTTCGATCAGAAAATCAAGAGAATGTAGCTGTTAACTGGAGAAGCAGAGCAGGCTGGAGACCCATGAACAGACCTGGGGTCCACAGGCAGGCTCTTGAGCAGGGCTCTTTGTCTTCTTTTGGCTGTGGATACCGAGCTGAGTCAGTTTCTGAGGACATCCTCAGCTGATGGCAGCAAAGTGATCAAACTGCCCTCCTCACATCCCTTTCCAACCTCAAGCATCAGAATCATAGCCCTGAGGGTAGAGGAAGAGAGGGGGGAGAAGAGGGAGCTGATAGCATTGATGACTGTATAACCCCACTCTGAAGGGAGTAAATTGTCCGCGAATGGATATATTGGATGGTGTGAGATTTTATGGTAATAAATAAATAAAATGAATGTATGTATATTTGTTCCTGGGGATTAGGGTTGTGGAGGGTGGGGATAAAGGGGAGCTGATACCAAGGAGTCCAGGAAGAAAGAAAATGTTTTGAAACTGATTGTGGTAGCAATTGTACAATATTGCTTGATGTGATTGAACAAGTGACTGTTAGGATATCTGCAAGAGCTCCCAATAAAATGATTTAAAAAAAGCAAGAAAATATCCCAGCCCAGTCCAAATCAAGTCCACAGGTCCCATACTAGTCCGTAAATCCTTCAGATTCAAGCAGCCACAAGCAATGATACAAAATACAGACTGGTGGAGGCAAAGTCTCCATTGTGGAGACTTTGGCAGAGGATGCATTTCCAGGGCTCCTGCAGATCTCTGAGTGGGTCACCAGAAGGAAGGTGAAGCAGAGAGACAGAGGGAGATTACCGGGATGCTCCTTATGAGGAGGTCATGACCACAAGGAAGTACCATCAGGCTGTTCCCTATCTGGCTAGACTTCACTGCTACGCTTCAAGTTGACATGAAATGATATAACTACCACAATACCTTTATTTATTTGGTAAGCCAAGCTCTTTCAGTTATAAGAAGGTTTCAGGAGATATTTTTGGTTTGAAGATGATCTCAGGTCAGTGGTTTTTGGGCTCATCCACTCTGCATGGCTTTAGAAATTCTAGAGAATTAGAAATTCTGTTTGGTATCTTGCTGCTTTTGTTCAAGATTCTTCTATGAAATCTGATCAAAATGTTCAGTAAATCATGCATTCCATGTCCTCCTCTAATTCCTCACTTTCTTTTATGCTCTGTTGTTGCCGGCAAAGATAGATTAATTGTTATATCTTGGATGACTTCTTGTAAGCTTTTAAGACCCCAGGCACTAATATAATGAAATAGGAGGCAGAGCACAGCACTAAACACGTTATTAGACACAAATATACTGGAATGTCCTGTGAAAGGTACCAAACCTCATGATGTGCTTAGTTGTATAAAGCAGGTTCAGCATGCACTTTTTGTGCTTGTGTTGTTATCATAAATCTATCACACAACTTTTGCCAATTCAACTTTATAAGTCGGACAGTGTATGATATGACAATATAATAATAATTTATAAATTATCAAGGGTTCATGAGGGAGGGGGGTGTGAGGAGGGAGGGGAAAAAATGAGGAGCTAATACCAAGGGCTCAAGTGGAAAAAAAATGTTTTGAGAATGATTATGGCAACAAATGTACAAATGTGCTTAACACAATGGATGTATGTATAGATTGTGATAAGAGCTGTACCAGCTCCCAATAAAATGATTAAAAAAAAATCTTAACCATAGGGGCCCTGGTGGCACCGTTGGGTAAATGTGATACTGCTAACCATGTGGTTGGTGGGTCAAAACCCCATCTCCTCGTGGTAGTTACATAATGTCATGTCAACTTGATCAATAGGTTGTAGAGGTGGAGAGTAGCCTGTTAATCAGGTCATAGCCTGATTGATGGCTCCTTGTGGGCCTGGCCTTCTTATGAGGATTCTGGGAGTTTTCCTTTCTTCCTAACTGGAGGTGGCACATACTCTGCTTCCCTGTTCTGTTGACAAGCCACATGGAGCCACACTGATTCAACCAGAGCCTTGGAGATAACCTCCACCGCCATTGGATCCCCGGGACTTCCCACCCTCTGGCCTCTGAGCTTCCTGCATTTGGCATCATTGCATGTGCTGCGTGAGTAAAAGAGGAATTTATGGATTGGTATTGGACATATGGGCTAATATCAGACTTATGGACTTGATCTGGACTGGGCTGGGGCGTTTTCTTAATCTACAATTGTTCTTTGTTATGAAGCTCTCTCTTACATACATATGAGTGTCTCTGGCTTTGTTTCTCTTAGTCAGCCTGGTCTAACACATGCTCTTTGGGAGAAAGATGAGACTAATTGCTCCCACAAAGATTGATAGTCTTGGAAGCCATATATTGGGATATTACGAGTCAGAATGAACTCAATGGTAGCAGGGTGTAGCATATCCTAGTGGGAGTGTGAAATGATATCGCATTGTTATTTCTATTTGCATCTTTCTGATGGCTGTAAGAGGTCTCATTTGTCTTGCTATTTGTGCTTTTATTATTATATTAGATAATTGTCGAGAGGTAGGACTGACAGAATCTATATTTGATTCAATGAGGACTTGAACATAATAATTCTGAGGATTGTATAGAACCGGAACTGTGTTTCGTTCTGTGATATATACGGTCACCATGAATTGGAACCAACTCGATGGCACCTAACAGTAATAACAACAACAACAAGCCGATCGGCATTGGTCCTGCTTCTTTTAAGAATTTTATGGTATTAGATTGCACATTCAGGGCTAGAATATATTTGTGGTCTCATGCATACATCCTGTTTCATTTTTCTGCATGGGGAAATCCATTTTTCTTATGATCATTTATTGAAGAGACTCATCTTCTAACTCAATGTAAAGAAGACCAAAATCCTCATAACTGTGACCAATAGGTAACATCATGATAAATGAAGCAGAGATTGAAGTTGTCAAGGATTTTTTGTTTGGATCCACAATCAGTGCTCATGGAAGCAACAGTCTACAGTTCAAAAGACGAGTTGCTTTAGGTAAGTCTTCTGCACAAGGCTTTTTTAGTCTTGAAAAAGCAAGGATGTTTCTATGAGGACTAAGGTGCGCTTTACCCAAGTCATGGCGTTTTCAGTTGCCTCAGATACTTTTGAAAGTTGGACATTAAATAAGAAAGACTGAAAAAGAATTGATGTATTTGTATTGAAGTGCTGGAGAAGAATATTGAAAGCACCATGAACTATGAAAAGAACAAAGGATCTGTCTTGGAAGATGTATGACCAGAGTGCTCCTTGAGTCGAGGATGGCGAGACTTCGTCTTACGTAATTTGGACATGTTGTCAGGAGAGAACAGTCCCTCGAGGAGGAGAGGTCATCAGGCTTGGTCAAGTAGAGGAGCAGCAAAAAGGGGACGACCCTTAAGGAGAATGATTGACACACCGACTGCAAGGATGGGCTCAAGCTTCGGAACAGTTGTGGGGATGGCACAGAACCAGGCAGTGTTTGGTTCTGCTGTGCGAGTCACTGGGTTGGAGCCGACTCGATGGCACCTAACAAGAACCATGAATATTAAAGAGCTTGTATTTAAATCTTGTAGGGAGAGTTGGTATCAAATTCAGTAACGCAGACAAGGACTTCTTTATACCACTCCTGTCTCTTCTTTTATCTTTTTTTTAATCATGAATTGCACCTTTGTATTCATGTACCATGTAATTTTATCCTTCTCTTTATGTATTTCTTACCGAAAAACACGAATGACCAAATATTTGGAACTGTTGGAATACTTCATTACTACCCCTTCTACTGGGCTTTGCATTCTGCTTCACTACATGCCTTTGTTTTTATGTGTAGCTTTGAATTATTTCCAGTGTGTTTTCCATTCCTTCCACTGAATTCCTATTAGAATTTTTTTGGGGAGGGCAGGGCAGTCTGGTGGATATAAACTTGCTCAGGTTCCGTTTATGTGTGAATGTTTTAAATTCATTTTCATCTTGGTGGGGCCATTTCACTGAGTATTGATAGTATTCTTTACAATTTTTCTTTCAGCCCTTTAAGTATATTATTCCATTGCCTTTGACTTCTAATATTTGTGGAGATAAATCTGCATTTATCTTACTGAGGATCTTGCCATGTTATTGTTTGCTTCTCTCTTCTGCTTCCAAGATTATCTCTTTAAGTTTTGAAAGCGTAACTTGCCTGGTTTTTCTAAAAAAATTTTTGTGTGGATTAGGCTTGGGTTTACATTTCATTTCATAAAGTGTAGATTCAACAACTTACACGACTTGTCAGCTCCTTTAATATACTTTCCCGTAGTTCTGTTATGATTAATATTGTTATATGCTTTCTTCAGTCACCCCTTCCCTCCATTATTTGGTCATTTCTAGATTCACTTTCACTCCCTTTGTCCTGTTCATTTGGATAGGCCTTTTTTTTTTTGTTCTTTGTGTGTCTTGTGAATTTTTCTTGGGTCATTGGAATTTTTGAGGCTGCTTACTTTCTCACTGTTTCCCAGTATTTGGTGTTATCTACTTTGCTACTTGCAAAAAAAAAACCCTTTAAAAAAATAATTTTATTGGAGGGCTTGTACAACTCTTATCACAATCCATACATACTTCCATTTTGTCAAGCACATTTGTTGCCATCATCATTTTCAATACATTTTCTTTCTACTTGAGCCCTTGGTATCAGCTCCTCATTTTTTCACCTCCTCCTTCCCTCACAAACCCTTGATAACTTATAAATTATTATTATTTTGTCATGTGTTACACTGTCCCTTCACCCAATTTTCTGTGGTCCCTCCCCCAGGGAAGGGGTTATATGTAGATCCTTGTGATTGGTTCCCCATTCTACTCCACCTTCCCCTTAACTTCCTGATATCGCTACTCTCTTTGGTTCTGAGGGGTTTATTTGTCCTGGATTCCCTGTGTTTCCAGTTCTTATCTGTACCAGTGTACATTCTCTGGGGACAAGAGGAAAGTAAAAGGAAATAGAGGAAAGAACTAGGAGGCAAAGAATATTTATAGAGGTCTAAATACAGGCATGTACATATGTAAATATATTTATATATGACGATGGGGAAATTTATAGGTTTAGTGTTAAGGTAGCAGGTGAACATTAGGCCTCTACTCAAGTACTCCCTCAATGCAAGAACACTTTGTTCTATTAAACTGGCATATTGTGATGCTCACCTTCCTGACACATGATTGCTGAAGACAAAGCGGGTGCATAAACAAATGTGATGAAGAAAGCTGATGGTGCCTGGTTATCAAAAGATATAGAGTCTGGGGTCTTAAAGGTTTGAAGATAAACAAGTGGCCATCTAGCTGAGAAGCAACAAAGCCCACATGGAAGAAGCACACCAGCCTCTGTGGTCACAAGGTGTTGATGGGATCAGGCATCAAAGAACAAAAAATCATATTGTGAATGATGGGTAGTATGGCGTGGAGACCCAAAGCCCATCTGGAGGCAACTGGACATCCCCTTACAGTAGGGTCGCAGGGAGGAGAGGAGCCAGTCTGGGTGTAGTATAGCAGTGAGGAAGCATACAACTTCCCTCTAGTTTTTTAATGCTCCGCCTTCAGCCCCCTATCATGATCACAATTCTACCTTGCAAAAAACCTCTTTAACTGGACTGAGCCTTTGTCATTTGCTTATCTTTTCCTTTTCCTTCTCTGTGATACCGTTTCCCCGAAAGTAAGACATCCTCCGAAAATAAGACCTACTTACAGTTTTGCCTCTCGCTGAAATATAAGGCATTCCCCCCCAAATAAGACCTCCCTGAAAATAAGGCCCCCCGAAGCTACCTCAACTCTGGACTCTGGACCGTAGCAGCGGGCACTGCCGCGCACATCACTGTTGGCCGCAGCACAGCCGGAGCAGACAGGAAGTGCAAGGTCTCTTTTAATTAATCAACAAATGTGTACCGGATTCTTCATGGAAAAATAAGACAGCCCCTGAAAATAAGACCTAGTGCATCTTTGGGAGCAAAAATTAACATAAGACTGTCTTATTTTCGGGGAAACAGGGTAGTAGTATCACACTAGGCAAATTATTTATGTGTATGTTCAATTTCTTCATATTTAAAAGTAGGGATCATGATCTCAACTTCGAAATTCTTAGGAAAGCTAAGGAAATATGGGCACGTCCAGTTAGGCCAGGCACATGATATTTCCACGTGGTGTAATGCTCAATAATCCGTGAAGTTCATTTTAATGTTTGATGATAGCCAAGGAAAAAAGCATTTAAACCTCTGCATTGGGTAGCTTTTGTTTGAGTAGCCGCACTGCAATTTACAGCAAGTGTTCTATAATGCAGTCTAAGTAGGAGAATCTGGGGAAGAAGAAAACATGATTGAGATATTAAGACGATTGAAATGACACACTAAATAGTCTGAAATGAAATCGCTTGTAAATATTGCATAATTTGTTTTGTGTTGCAGTCGACAAGAATTGGAATGTCAGTTAATGCTATTCGCAAGCAGAGTACAGACGAAGAGGTTACATCTTTAGCAAAGTCTCTCATCAAATCCTGGAAAAAGTTATTAGGTATAATTAGTCTTTTACTTACATATATTATGTTTTTTATTCAAATGTTTGTAAAGTGTTTATTAGTGTTCTCTATTTTACTTTTCTGGGTTCTAATATCCATCGCAATGGCTACACAGAAACTAAGACAAAATTCATGAGTAAAGAGTTGATTAAGAAAGTGAACAAGTTGTAATGCCAGTGAGAAATGGTAAGGGTTGAGTTTATCAGGATATGTTACAAAATTCTGTCAAGTCTGCTCATAGAGACATTCAGTTTAAGCTAGTGGGTCAGCAAACCCAGCTCCCTGAATTAAGTGTCCAGGGGCACTGTACTACAGGGCTCAACCTTAGCCCAGCAGTTCTCAACCTGTGGGTTGCGACCCCGTTGGGAGTCGAACGACCCTTTCACAGGGATCGCCCGATTCACAACAGTAGCAAAATTACAGTTGTGAAGTAGCAACGAAGATAATTTTATGGTTGGGGGTCACCACAACATGAAGAACTGTATTAAAGGGTCATGGCATTAGGAAGGTTGAGAACCACTGCCTTAGCCCAAAGGTACTCAGCTCCATTTCCATGGGTCAGAAGCCCAACTTCCCTGATAAGTGCCCAGAGGCATCCGCTCCACAAGTCAGCCTCCTGCACAAAAAGCATTTGTCTTTAATTGTTGAATGTGGGTTAGGAGGTCTCTCACTGTTCCCTGCTGTCTCCTAGTGCTGCTCCTGTTTCTCTGATGTTTTTGATAGTTTTCTTCATACAAGTCACTTTCCTTGGTTGATATGCTTATCTTCCTCAATTGTTGTTTTGATCATTATATAATGCCCTTCTTTGTCTGTAAGATGGATTTTGTCTTTAAATCTGTTTTATCAGAGATTAATTTTGCTACTCCTTTCCTTTTTTTAAAGTATGAGCTTGATTTTGTTCCCTTCATCCTTTGATTTTTAGTCTGTTGTCTTTGTGTCTAAGATGTGTTTGTGCCATTCTGCCTTATTTTTGTTGTTGTTGTATGAAATTGTTCTTTGGATGTAATTCTTGCTGTTTCTGAGACATTTTGGTGTTTTAAAGTTTGTCTTTATTTGTTGGGTGGTCATTGTCCCCCTAGTTGTATCCTTAGGTGGAGCAAGACAGGATTTAAAAAATTTTTAAGCCAAATCACTCACTCACAACCCCCCCCCCCAGCCCCCCAAAAAACCCAAACTTTCCAGGCCAGCCAGCAACTGAAAATAGAAAGAACAAGCAATTTCAAAGTCAGCCCTGCTAACTTGCACACTGCCAACTTCTGCTGGTGCTGAATGGATCTGTAAAGGAAGATCATTTGTATCTCCAGAGCACAGGAATGTGTAGGCCTTCCTGTCTGGAAACAAACAAAAACCCTCCTAACCTGCTTTAGTAAACCTCAAGTGCCCTCTGATATTTCAAGAAAGCCCCGCTTGACTTCTGGAGGGGCTCTGGTGGTCTCCGAGGCTGCGAGTAGCACATGTGTGGAGGTAATTAGCCCTGCCGTTACTTCTATGGCTACTCCCTTCTGTCCAGAGCTGAGAGTGTACAACCCCATATATATAAACAACAACAAAAAACCCAATGTGACTAGTTTGGCAGCCTGGGGCTCTTGGAAAGTAGGAAGGAGTGCTGATGGCTTACTGGCTATTCATGTGCTGTTCGCCTGGCCAGTAGTTCAAAGCCATCAGCCACTCTGAAGAAGAGAGATCAGGCTTTCAAGAGTGCCAGTTTTAGAAACTCACAGGGCAGTTCTCCTGTGTCCTCTCTGGTTCCTGTGAGTCAGTGTTGACTTGGCAGTGAGTTTGGTTTTGGCTTTTTGGAAGGAAAGCCCTGTTAGTCTGGTTGGTTGGGAAAAAAGTGGCACACAGACTCTGGCAGTCCAGTTTGCATATGAATGAATGAGCCTATGGCCCCTCTGAGCACTCTGTAGCCCCAGGGAACCAGGGATCTCCCCCCCACCCCCTCACTGTACGGTGCCCTCCCCACCTGCCCTCCTACCTGCACTCACTCCCTGCCTGGGAATTCAGTGGTTGCTTGTCAGTTCCTTCCTTTCTTTGAGGAAAATTCATTTCACTCAGGTTTTCTTACCGTGGAGATTAGGGCTCCAGAATTTTCTTCTCTGTGTACTGTATCCTTTTTTTTTTTGTCGTTGTGGGCTTTTGTCATGTGTTGCCTGGTCTGCCATGTTTTACCAAAGTCCTAAAGTATATTCTTTAGATTGTTTGCTGCATTTCAAAAAGATGATTTTACTACTGCAACGATTAGGTAACCTGTTTTTAAACATTTAGTATATGCCTGCGAAGGACTGTCAGTCTTCTGTTGTTCATAGGGTCACTATGATTCGGAATTGATTTGATGGCACCCAATAACTGTATATGCCTAGTATATAAGAGTACACCAGTCTATGCTAAGGAGCCCTGGTGGCATGGTGGTTATGCCTTGGGCTGCTAACCAGAGGCAAGCAATTTGAAGCCACCAGCAGCTCTGTAGGAGAAAGACGGCTTTCTACTCCTGTGCAGGGTTACAGGCAGTTCTTTCCCCTGGGTGGTTGCTATGAGCTGAAATTGACCCGATGGCAGTACACATGCATCCTGCATCAACCCTCCATATGTCTAATCCTTACAACATTCCAGTGTGCTAGGTGCTATGATCATGAAGAAACGGAGGCAGTTAGATGATACGTTGCTTGTGGACTGTCGACAGGTGGTGAGTGGTTGGGTTAAATGAGACTCTGACCTTGGGTAGTATGAGTACAGTGTTGAAGCATGTCTCATGTGCCTCTTACTGCTTTGTTTTTTAAATGATCATACCAGTTCTCAGTGTGTTACAGCAATGTGTCCATTGATTTTACTGCTTCTCTGGCAACATTGGATCATTGTGATAGGGTATTTCATTGTTAACATCAATTTCATCCTGTTTCTGTTTTCTGCCTTTTACTTTTGGAATATATTTCTAGATCTTGCCTATTCTTTCATGTCATTAATAATCTTTTCCCCCCAACCACACAATACTATAGCATCATCACACTTGGAAGCCTTCTTGTGCTTGTGCCTGTACTATAGAGGCACTGAATTGTGTTTTAGTTTGATAAACTAGACTTTGCGAGGTAATTCTAGAGTTCAAATGGAGATAATTCTCTACTAGTGATTCTCAACCTAGGCAACATATAAGAGTTATGGGAGGGGGAATGACACTTTTAACAGATGTTTGTACTTCATTTCTGGAGATTAGGATTGGTCAGAAACTTTTCCAGCTGATCCTGATACACAATTGAATGTAATAGTCAGGTTCTATAGTGTATACATAGGGATGTGAAGAGTTGAATTATTTCTGTAGTCTTTATTACTTATGTAAGGAACAAAATGCAAATAAGTGGAACAGTTTATACAATAGACCCAAACATTGTCTACCTTTGAGGCTGTTGAGATGGATTTAAATGTGAATGTTTCTTGTCAGTCTTAAACTGCTGTACTCATATAACCTATTTTATATACATTTATTTTCCATTGTCTTAATTGCTCACCTCAAGAGTTTCAATTTCATTCACTTTGTATAATGTTATAGATCTAAGATAGAGGAGTACCTTGGTAGGCCTTATTAATCCTGAGCTACTGGGATTAGATCTGTGAAATTGCCTTTTTTCCCTAAACTTAAAATGACTTTTTAATTTGGTATCACCTTAAATTATTTTCTGTTCAAAAAAATTTTTTTCTGTTCATGAAAAATTATTAAGACATTTCTCTCTATATATATTCTGCTTTCATTTATAAGATGGCAGTGTTGATATTTTTTTTCATATTTTTTACCTTCTTTCCCATTGATATAAATTTATAATTACCTCCAAATGAGGACATACATTTGTGAATGGTGACTGAATATGCACTGTAAAAAATATTAGAACATATGTTAATAGAATAACTTGCATAAACTTCATTTACTTGTTGGAGGTTTAAGATACTAGTTTTTTTATTATGTGAGTAGCTTGGTAACATCTTGTTGTCAAGCTAACATGTTTTATTTCACAAATGTTAGTAATTTAGGAATTTTATAAAATTTCAGATGGACCCTCAACTGATAAAGACTCTGAAGAAAAGAAAAAAGAACCCGCAATCACATCGCAGAATAGCCCTGAAGCAAGGGAAGAGAGGTATTTCACCTTAGGAACTTGACTTATCGTGGAAGTCAGAAATTGTTTTACCTGCTCCCTCTCTTCCTTCATGGCCTTTAGGTTCCATAACTGTACTCCCCCTTCTATTTTCTAATCAGACATAATTAGTAAATGTATATAGACATACCTTGATTTCTTGTACTTCACAGATACCGCATTTTTTTACACATTTGAAGTTGTGGCAACCCTGTGTCCAGCAAGATTTTTGTGCCATTTTTTCCAACTGTATGTTAATTTCATGTTTCTGTGTCATTTTCAAACTTTTTCATGGTGCCATTGCATGCTTTGTCAACATACCAAACTTTTTCTTAATGCCGTGCATATTAGATTACAATATAGTATTCAACATAACTTTTATAAGCACTCGGGGGGGAAATTCATGTAATGAGTTTCATTGTTATTTGTGGTGGTCTGAAACAAAACCCACAATGAACACAACACTGCTTTTAGAGTGAAGGCTTCCAAACTCTGTCCCTCAAGTTGTGCTTACTGTGTAATTTACAGCCATACTGCAATTGAATCAATTTCAACTCATAGCGACCTAATGTATTGTTTTTGAAACTGTAAATCTTTATGGGAGCAGATAGTTTCCTATTTCTCCTAAAGAGCAGCTGTTGAGGTTGAACCTCCAACCCATCCAGTGCTTACCCAGCAGCACCATCAGGCTCTCTTTATTAGTGTTAAGACTCTATTAACTGTTTATCAGCATTTCCCCCAAATTAATAATGTCCCTCTTATTTTTTTTAAAATAACACTTACTAATACCATGCACTGTTGTTTTATGTTATAAGAGGCCTTCAAAAAGTTTCTGGAAAATTACATTAAAAATTATCTTTTAATCATAGTTTTCCATAAACTTTTTGAACCAACCCCACCCCACCCATATTAGTACTAAGTATGCTTGATGGTAAACCAAAGGTAGGTTAAATAACAGCTGTTGAATCTTAAGCACATATATGTAGCTCCTTTATCTAACCAAACTCACTGCCATCGAGTTTCCGACTCATAGTGACCTAATAGGGCAGGGTAGACCTGCCCCTCTGTGTTTCTGAGACTGTAACTTTTTTGTGGAAGTAGAAAGCCTTACCTTTCTCCTGAAGAGAAAGTTATATTTACTGTGCCACCAGAGCATTTGTCTCCCAAAGACTTTGCTATTAGCAGCCCAACTCTTAATGCAATATGCCACCAGGGTTCCTCTGGAACACAGAACAGCTTAGATAATACTGAAAGCCAAGTTCTTAGCACAGTAAAACCCTCAAAAGGTAAGCAATGAAAATATTTCCCATTAGTAGAGAAGGGTAGAAAAGTAGTAAGACTGTGCAAGGCCCAGAAAAACAGAGCAGTCCTGCCTAGTTACGTGTCTCATATATCCACTATTTTGATCAGGCTTACGTATTTGAAGTTTATGCACAGGCTCTCTTCAAAAGCAAAGAGCTAGGAGGTCTGGTAAAGTAAGTGTTGGTGTTTTTCTTTACAGACACACATTTATAAACACATTGAAAGAAATAAAGGGTTGGAAAAATGGGTGTGAGGTATTAGCGATAGGAAGATATGTTAGATCTAAGTAATTAATCAAGGCTGAGAAAGGAGTATACCCTTCAGATACAAGAAATCAAGGAGAATGTAAAGTGGTTCAGTGTGTTTTAGGAAGGAGATCCCAGGATTTAAGGAGTGGGCTAGCAACAGAGAATCCAGTGATGAAAAGCTATTTCTCATTTGGGCTAGGCATTGGTTACAGGCCAGAGAGTCAAAGGCATATCATTAAAATATTTATAAACATATGGAACTTTTAACATTAGCTTGGTCATTTATTTATCACTTATAGATGGCTTGCATGGTGCTGGAAATATAAAAATATGTAGGGCCTAGTTCTTTTCGGAAGTCTGACTTGGTAAAGAAGAAAGTGTAAAAAGTCTTCGCGTTGTGTGGACTTTGGGAGCAAAGGGGGAAATCAGAGAAGGATGCAAGAATAAGAAGACGAGATATAGAAAGTATGTACATGTGACATGGCTGATATGGCCACAGTGGTGGGTTTGTGAGGTTTGACAGTGGACTGTTTCGAAGAGAAGGCAATGAGGTTCATTCTGTCAAGTGATGTAACTAGTCTTTGGAAAGGCAATTGGTTTTAAGATGATGAAAGTTCGCCAAAACTGACCAAACTGTTCTGGAGAGGACTTGCTTTAGTGAGAACCAAATATAAGAAGTTCCTTAGAAGTTAACGGACGAAAAAAAATTCACACTTGCCTAATGACCAGAGAGAGTTGATATTTTAGGGGAGATTTGGGAGTACAGTGATACCTTGGTTGTTGAACTGAAACTCGTACCTAATTCGTGTTTGAATGTCAAAAAGTTTAATAACGAAACATATTTTCTCCATAAGAAATAATGGGAAACCAAATAATTGGTCCTGAGCCCCCAAAATCACACATAAGTTCAGTGTTGGAGGCTTTTAGCCTTCTCAAATATCACTGTCTTGGATACCTATCACCATGGAGTTAGTTGTTCTGTTGTGTGCACGTTAACAGTAGCTTTTCAACCTGTTCGACGGCCTGGGCTCCTTGTTTCCTGGTTAACAACTTCACACCTTTTGCTGCATTAGCCTCTTTGATCACTTTTTATTCTCTCAAGTGTTGCTAATGTCGCCTTAGCCATGTTGTATTCAGTTGCCTGATCAGACAAGTGGTGAACTGATTCAAATTTCACAATCGTGGTTATCACAGTTTTCCTCTTCACCTTACTGTTGATATCACTAACTTTTTTTGGAGTCATGGTTACGATATTTTCCACAAATGAAGCTCAAAAAAAACACCATGGCGGATTTTTTAATGCAGGAGCACAAGCACTATATGAGCTAGGGCCATGCTTAGACTGGCGTATGAGTACACCTCTTTGTGTCCATAGGTGAGAGGTGATGTGTGACTCGCTCTCAGCCCATACAGGTTCTTTCAGGTTGGGTTTTGGTTCCATTATCTAGCAAAGTTATCAACATTCAGCAGACTTTTTTCCCCCAACTTTGCTGTTTGAGTAGTGGAAGTTTGAGGTTGTACAACCAAGTTATCCCTGTATTTGGAACCAATAGGAACAAGATTTTGCGAACACGTTTTCCCCCTTCTGGTTTGATTGAGAGCTGTCATAACTGACTTTATCCTTACAACCACGATCCTTGCTTTTTAAATTTACTGTACTGAGCTACAATGTATTATTGTTTTCTTATTAAAAGTATTTTTTAATGTTAAAAGGAAAATCAATGTACGATTTGCTGGTCATTTATATGCTGGCAAAATACTTTTATTCATGTAAGGCTCACTGAAATGCTATCTCATTTATTTAGGTTAACTGTTTTGTTATTGAAGAGTCATAGGAGTGATACTACTAAGAGAGTTTTCCCTGATTTATTTTTGATGTGTGTGTTTGTGTGTGTGCGTGTCCGTGGACTCTAGTAGCTCCAGTGGCAACGTAAGCAGCAGAAAGGATGAGACAAATGCTCGAGACACTTATGTTTCGTCTTTTCCTCGGGCACCAAGCACTTCAGATTCTGTACGGTTAAAGTGTCGGGAGATGCTTGCTGCCGCTCTTCGAACTGGAGGTAAGTTTAGTCTAAGTTGTCTTATTCCTTAACACTTTGACCACCACCACCATCTCCCTCCACACTACACTGCTTTCTTGCAAGTATCACCAAGTTCAGTGTTTCCCTAAGTGGACAGTAATGCCCTGGGGCACTGGAACAATTCAAGGGGACTGAAAAGCAGATTCCTAGACTTTATTCTGGATTATGGGCTGTAGTAAAAAGTTTTTAATTTCCAGGGCAACTCAAGAGTAATACCCTACCACCCCCACCCACAAAACGGATGGTAGGCCAAATAAGTTTGGGAACCTGTGCTTGGATTGATAACTGCCTGCCACTGCTTAGCTTTGGTGGGAGTTGTTGGTCATAGCGGTCAGTAAAGATGCAGAGAAACAAACATATGTTGGCATCTGCTTGCTGTGTATTTCAAGCATGTAGATTCCTTCTAATACATGGAGGCTTGCCTGATTTATAGTAGTTTAAACTGTTTTCACAAACAATATCTTTTGTCCCTACATTCAATCTGCAAACTGATTACTTTGGACTCAATTTGAGAGTTAATGTTAATTGTGGGCCCTACTGGTAAATAATAGTGTGATAAGTATTAAGTAAATTGCATGTTCTTAACTTGTTTATTTTATTATTTTTGTAATTTTTTTTAGTAGAAAATAGCTCATTGTTTATCTATGGGTTCTTAGTTAAGCTGAGCTGATCCAGTTTTACTATGTAAAATTTTGACTTTAAAAGATTTTTTTACATAGGAATATTTATCTCACACAAGTTCGTCCCTTGTCTTCTGTACCGAGCCATTGCTAGTTTGACCTCTTTTCCTTTTTACTCTGCTCTTTCTACTCTGATTCCTTTTATGCTCTATTTCTTATTTTCTTTTCCTTTCTAGTTTTCTTTTTGTTTTCTTCTAGCCTTTTGAGTATATTTATAGGCATCTTCTGAGTGGGTTCGTATATGTGATTGGCAGATGAAAGAAATGGTTTCTTTGCATTGAAACCTAAGTCACAAGAGACAAGACAGTGCTTTCCATAACTTTCTCTACTTTCTGCTGGAGCACCCAGAATGAAGTTGTGAAATGAGGAGTTGCCTGCTAGATCAATATCCCACTCCTAAGGGATAAGCCGTCATCAGTGAGCAAGAACATTGTGGATTTTAGGTGAATCCAGAGGAAGGGTCTATTGGATAGTAAAGGGACCAGATTCTGATGAAATGAAATTACAAGGATTCTGTATGTAAGGCAAATGGGGTGGAAGAAATAGAAATGCATTTGAGTTTGCCCTGTAAAATGCTAAACTTATTGACAATTCTTTGTTCCTATTTTTAGATGACTACATTGCTATTGGAGCTGATGAGGAAGAATTAGGATCTCAGATCGAGGAAGATATCCTTTGTTTTGTGTATATTCCTAATTGCTTTATATAATTTGTTATATATTTATTATGATTTTTCTTACTGTTTAGAATTCAATGTTTTGTTTCTTAGTTTCTATCTTGATTACATTGTTTTGATGGAGATGGAGAAGGGCATTCAAATCATTTTAATCTACTTATGTTTTTCCTGTCATTCAAGTTTGTCAGGCTGGCAAACAGAATATACCAATCATCTCAGTTACAGCTGTGCTTAAGGACATGGGAAACACGTAACCCTAGTATTTGGAGGAAACTCAGGAGAAGGCACAATCCCCTGTGCTCATTAACCCAGAGAAAATGATGTTTGTGCTGGCGCCATAAAAGGGCTCCAGAAGAGCGACCAAACTAGAGTAAGGGGACAGGGCACATCTAGTTGACACTGTAGCAATAGATATAGCCTAGTTGAGGAAGTGGCCTTGTAAAAAGGGAGCTTCCAGGGTCCAGTGGCTGCTAGGACATACTCTTCTGCAGAGACATTTCGAACCTGCTAAACTTGTTCTTGCTAGCTGGGGGAAGAAATGAATCTCTAGCAGCGATTCTCAACTTGTGGGTTGCGACCCCCTTTGGGAGGTCAAATGACCCAGGTCAAATGACCCTTTCACAGGGGTGGCCTGATGCCTAACAGTCGCAAAATTACAGTTAATGAAGTAGCAACGAAAATAATTTTATGGTTGGGGAGGGGGGTCACCGCCACATGAGGAACTGTATTCAAGGGTCGCGGCATGAGGAAGGTTCAGAACCCCTCCTCTTGAGGCATCCTGAATGGTCTGTTCTCAGAAGGCCCTCAAAGACTGATAGTCATGGAGACCGTTGGGATCTTAATCGAATTTGGGTTTGGGCCGAGATAAAGCTTGTGTTCAGTTCAAATTTTTTTTCAGAACTTTGTGCAGTTGCTTGATTTCCTAAATTACTCTTTGGAACCTTGTTGACTTGTGTGCTATTGGCATTTAAAAGTATTGTCACTGTTAATTTTGCTAATTATAGTTTAAGGGACAGGAAGAAACAATATTAAAGAGTGATAGTAATGATATTATTTGAATTGGAAACCGTTTGTGAACAATTAGAAAGTTTGGGAATTCTTATTGACAGAATAGGGGGGCAAAGTGATCTATTGAGAAAATTTGACCTTTTTTCTTTAATGGACTATTACCTATATATCAAGAAATAAGGAATACAGACATGAAATACAAAAATAGGGTGCGAAGTAGGATATCAAATCTTAAAGATGCAAAGAACCCAAATTTAAGAAAAAATGTGCTTTGTGGAAACATTCCTCCTGATTTATTTGCAAGAATGACGGCAGAGGTGAGTATGCCTGACTATCAAGTTTCAAGGTGTCAGGTGTAGAGAAGTATTACATATGCACTTAATTTTTGTGAGCTATTTTGATATACTGATAAATACCATGCCCTAGGTAAATAGTTAAAGTGATTAAACCTATTGGTTTTGGCTACAGTACTTTGTTCACTGTCCCAGGTATAATGTGATTTTGGGATGACTGCATTAAATTCTTGTTCAAAAACAGGTATTACACTTAGAGATTTAAATAGAAAAAAAATTTCTTATTACAAGGAGACATAGTAACTCGTAAGTTCTTTTCATGATAAACACTGTAAAATGTCACATTTTATTAATTGTTGCTTAAATTTTTGTAAAAAATAATGAAGAACATGAAACAGCTTGCTTTTTTTTTTTATTGGGGGCTCATACAACTCATCACAATCCATACATACATCAATTGTATAAAGCACATTTGTACATTTGTACATTTGTT